AGAGAGAGAGAGAGAGAGAGAGAGATTTAAATGTGTACATCTTGTTTAGTCAAAACTGTATATTCTCTAAATCTAGTTAATTGTATCAATTAAAAAAATCTACTAAATTAGAAGATATAAAACAACCATGAAAATCTAAACACTTCCTAGTTTTTGTCTTAGCAGGGAATGATAATAACTTTTTGAGCACAGCATGGAATACAACCTAGTTATTCTGATTGTAGCTGGGTATATACCGCACAAAGCTACTGACAAACGTTCTATTGTGTTCATAAACTCATTCACTGTGGCTGTAACCCTGCCCCTTGCATTGAATTTTCTGTGACTATTCCACCACTTATGTTTGCTTTCTCCTGAGCACTGATATGTAAATGAAGAATGAAGAATATTCATGGAAAGTGAGCTTATAATTATAATTATCTGGGTCATCCTGTTTACCATTTTTAAAACTTGGAACATTAGCTTTCTCCCAGTTTCCTGGAACTTCCCCAGTGCTCCAAAACTTACTGAAAATCAGCATTAACTGTCCAATGAGCTTCTCAACAAGCTCTTTTAGAACTCTTTGATGCAAATTACATGGGGCTACTGACTGAAAAATGTCTAACATTAGTAGTTTCTGTTTAACTTCCTACAGAGAAACTCGTGGAATGGAAAAACGATGAGACATGTAAGTTGTCCTTTCACAGTCCCACCAAGGGAGTGCCTTAGCCGGTCCTGGGGGACACTTGCAACAAGTTTGAGGGAAGTACAGAATCCGTGGCTCATTCAGCCCTTGGACTTTCTTGTGAGTCTATGTATAACTGACTAGGAACATGGCCAGCTGTGGTGATGCGCTGGTGTCTGATGTGAGAGGTGAATACTTTTCTTCATGCACTGATCTCTTCGCATGAACTCCACTTTCTATGGCGCACCCAATTGCCATCAGATGGGAACTGTTTCTACGAACAGTTGGTACTGAATTTGAATATTTAGTATTCTCATTTCGTGGCTACACATCAGTAATCATATTTAGAATCCCCCATATCTTCTGGTCTCCTCTGTTCATCAGGTTGAAAGCACTTTTCAGTTCTTAATAGGAACTCACTCTTTTCCTCCTCAGGAATATCTGGAAAATAAATACATAGAGTCAAACTTTCTACAAATGCACTTTGCCTGGGCAAAAATGTTCAGCTGTGCACTCCCAGTATGGTGCAAGGCTGGATTGGGTGCTGAGGGGGATTTTCCAAAGCAGTGTGTCAGGTTTCTCCAAGTCCCCTGAACACTCTCCATCCTGTGCAGTCTCTGAGGGTGAAGCTAGGGCATGCGAAAAGTGATAGATCCCTCCTGAACCATAGGCTTCCAGACTTGACAGTTACCATTGTGCCTGGGCACAATGCCATAGAGACAGCATGGAGGGGGAATGGATATTGACTGGATTATAAAATGCTGGACCTGTAGACCAGGATTCTATGCACACAGGAAAAGGTTAACTAACAAGTCCACAAGATTCTGTAGCCCAGATGTTAGAGTACTCATCTAGGAGGGGAAGGCCCAGATTCCAGTCCCTTTGCTCCAGTGACTGTCTGATTACCCAATAATCTTCAAAATGTGGGCTAGAATTATTTTACATATGAAATTTTACTAAGCTATCAGCTTTACAGTGCTCAGTGGGTTGTGTTAAACCTACTCTAAACTATGTGACCTCCACCCCTCATTTAAAATGTGCTGCTACAGCCATGCTGCTGTAAGGTCTCCCGTGTAGCTACTCTTTGCCAGCAGGAGAGAGCTCTTCTGCCAGCAAAATAAAACCACCCCCAGTGAGCGGCGGTAGCGTTGTCAGTGGGAGAGCATATCCTGCTGACATAGCACTGTCCACACTGGCACTTTTTTGTTGGTAAAACTTTTGTTGGTCAGAAGTGTGAAAAAACACACCACTGTTGAACAAAAGTGTAGTGTAGTCATAGTCGGAGACAAGAGAAGCAGAGGCAGAGAGAGTCACAGCAAGCAAGACAAAAGAAGAGAAAGAAAGCCAAGGAAATGCAGCTAGAAGCACAGTAAAGTGGCCCTGAAATAAAGCTTTTTTTCCATACAGAGTGCTTGATGGAAAGACAGGCTAACAACAGTGAACAAAGGAACTGTCTCCTCTTTTTGTTTCTTCCTGTATTCGGAGAAGCGGGACTTTGTGCACTCCTTGTAAATAAACAAGATACCACCAAAGAAAATATCAGACTCCATTATCAATTTCTATTCCCATCTGGAACATCCCCAGAGTCCAAAACTTTGGCTGACCACTCA